GTGATGTGATCGAGTGAAAGGGAGACAGAGACCGGACCGGCAAGGTATGAAGTGATCCAGGCAGGAAGCGGAGGTTCACCCATGATTTAACTCCCGTTAAGTAAAAGCCCGTACTTCCTTATCGATTATTCGTGTCGTCTGCTCCGCAAGGAGAAACCGCGATTCAATCGATCGGGGAGGGGGACCCCTCCTACCGATTGGACACGTAACGCCCTGGGACCGCGACCGATCGGGGATATTTATGCCGAAACAAAAGACGCCATTTTCTTGTCATTGTTCTTTGTTTTTTTCATCGTTCTCGTCCGTGAAACTCCTCGTATCGTGGAATATCAGATCCTGTAATAGTCATTATGGTAGAAAGATTCAGAAAGTTTACCGGGCTTTCTTTTTATTTTGAATCTACTAGAACTCTTGAAAATTTTTTGATCGAAGGTACATTACCGATGAGTTTCCTTTTTTCCATGGACATTGGTACTCAGATATTAACGAAAGGTGACGTTTCGCAAAAAATTAAAAAAAAAAAAAAAAACTGGGGCCGAGTGTCGAAAGAAATAGAAACCCCGTTCGACCGAGTAATCGTTTCGGGGCCAAGCCCGTTTAATCGCGGAACAATGGATGAGCTGCTCCTGATCTCCGGCGAATCGTAATTCAACGCGCCGAAGCACCTAGCGTGCACCTCGTTGCATATAGGTACGCGACACGGCGTGGGTAATCGCTTTGATTCCGCGAACGAGAACGGATATTAGGAAACTCTGCTGCGCCATAAAAAAAGGAAAAAATAAAAGAGGAAGAATGGAAAAAAGAGTAGAAACTAAAAAGCTGCATCCTCTCGTGCGCCAACCTGGCACGATCGAATCACGGGTGAAACCCGCGGATATCGTCCTCTCGCTCTCTCTTGCGCACGAATTCTGTTCGTGTTGCAACGAACCTTAGATTTCATTTCTCGTTTCGATCTACACGCTTCAACATACCTATTCTACCATAATTACTTCATTTGAAACATATTTAAAGACATACAATCGATTCCAAAACCGATAGGCGATTTCTGCCCCCAGTGTGTAACCCCCGCAGTAACGAGAACGAAGCAGAAGTATTGTATTTAACGTAGAGATCACTCTGAACAGTTATCGAGACTTTATCGATTAGATCCACGATAATTGGATTGATTTATCGTCATCAAGAATCACCGAAGATGAGGTCGATCTTTTCTGTCGAACAAAGAAACGACAGAATGATGCTCGAAATCCCAGTCGAGGATACACAGCAATTGAGATTTTCGTTTCGCGCAAGCACGCCCAAGCGGGGAAACGCGGAGATACTGGTCGCCACCACGATGAATCACGCGTAATGGCAATCGTCTCCTTCGCAATAATGGCTGGAATAATGGAGCACCGGCTAGATCGTTCATCACGATTCGCGGAGGTGCCAACTGCGATGGCAGAAACGCACAGAGACCGGAGTTTACGTAGCGGCGCGTACGCGAAACATATTTAATTGGCTTAATGACGTTGGAATTCCATAATCGCGATGGCCAGGACCGCGGAGCGTTAATTATTCCTGCCTGTCATGTAAACAGAGAACAGAGCGCGACGATAAACTAACTCTACGAGAACTGTGTACTCACGTACAGACACAATAGTCATACAGAACACTGAAGATAGAACGTAAACTTGAACAATTAGTTTACTGTCTCCTATACCCGAGGTTTACAGTACCTGAAATTCTTTCAATACGTCTCTTACCTACTTAGGTAATATAGCGTGTCCCACATAAGTATAGTATATTGTACCACGTCCACCAAGTAGATAAAATTTCTTTCATCGGGACGAAAATACTATTAACCAATATTTTCGTTTAATCTCTGGGAGTACTTCCATAGAATCATTCCCAAATATCTTCCATTCGGGGAAATTAGACACTGTTCATCTGTATAGCTCGATCCAAATGGAAATTAAACACTAGTCGTCTAGTATAGGTGGGTCCGAACGGACCCGTGAGGTTCGTGAACCGCGACTAATGTCCGAGATGAACCGAACACCGGTGATATCACCGCGCTATAAAATCGAATCGCGTTAGGATCGAGACTCGCGACTGAGGATCTGTCTCCATTTTCCCATTCAGATGTCGACGCGGCGCCAGCGAAGGCCTCTCTGGAGAACGTGCCGGGCAACGTGTACGAAAGCGTGTGCGTGCCAGATTTAGGTGATTTCTTGGGATACCAGGCGGGTGGTGATGGTGGTGCGAATCAGGTGACCACGCCGGAGCACAAGAGCCCAGGGACGCCCGCAAGTTCCGTCGCCTCGAACTCCTCCGACCGTCGAACCGGGAGTCAACCGACGTCGTCCACGTTGCAACCGCCCTCCACCGCAGTTTCTCTACCCTCGAGACAGTATCATAACGATGGTAAGTGTCTCTTTTCACTATCCTGCCGGCCTTCCTCATCCCCTTAGATTCGGGTCGGCTCCTCCCTTCAGCCCCATATCCCCGTTCTGGTACCACTCGTTTGACGTTCACCAGGTTACTAAATAATGTCATTGCCATCTACTTAATTCAGAAATCTATCTATAGATTCGTCTAAAGTCGTCCTTGTTTCATAAGAATAATAGTGGTTGTCGGGGATCAGGCTACGTGGGAATAGGTAAAAGGAGGGATCTTCGGTTCTTGGGTCTTTTAACTGAATTTATTTAGCTACAGTCGAAAGTAGACACCTGAGTATGCAAAACATAGACATCCGAGAGGGTTAAAAGGAATCGTGGACGGGAAAGACGAAGTATTAGGAGTCTTAGATCCTTGATCGTTAAGGGATATAGATAGTTTCTCCTGTGCTAACCAAGGGAAGCCGCTGTGAAAATACACTGAACCCCTTGAAGTTGAAGGATGCACGTAGCCTCCACGGATCGAAGTCCCACACTCGTCTTCTGGACGTATATACCCGCGAGGACATAAATTAGACAGGGCCTGGAGCCATCCACGTCGGCCTTGTTCCTCTTCGCCGGTCGGGTAAAAGGGCCCCTGACAATATAGTGTCGATTGAACAGTGGATTGGAACACCTTCTCCCCGCGTCGGACCGCGGATAAATGTACACGGGGACGACAGGTAGATATCTTCTTCTGCCGAAGAGCAGCGTTTCCCAACCCTTTGACTCCAAACCACAAAGTTCACGATTCAAAGGATCTCCAACCCGAATAGGAAAACTTTAGAAGCTAGGAAATCTGGAAGGGACATCGTGACACTTTGCCCGATCTCTCTGTTTAACCCTTTAACGCCCAGACCCTTGAATCGTTATTTGGAAATCATGAAATTGATATTTAGCTTTCGAAATTTTTGTTATTAGCTTTCAACCCAAAAACGGTGGGGTACCTAACTAAGGTGACCAAACCCAGACCCCTCGCATTTTAACCCAGGATCCATCCTATCCAAGGTTGGGAAACGCTGACCATAAGAATCACTGGTCTCCCGTACGAAGCCGCGAAACCTCGCGACAAGCCGGTTTATTTATTTCTCCCCCATCCTTTATCGCGGCCGCGAACGACGAAAGCGTGTTGCGACTCGGCCGCAGAGGAGTTTCTCATTGTTACGTCAGGGTGGCTGATAGCATCTCTCGGCTCGCCGCGTTTTGCACACGTGGTGGTTGCCACAGGTCTCTCATTATCGTCACCGGCGGGGGTTCGCCTTCTCTCGTTTAACGTTTCGTCGTCATCGGCGGGAACACGACACACGATTTCACCGTGGATACACCATCCAACGCACAACCGTCTAGAAATCGTGACGATCCAACCCACCGAAAGTGCCTCCAAACTACGGGGAATAGGAGGAAAGGGCAGGGCAGGATTCGCAATATCTCGGCCAACAACGCGCAATTCGTGATTCACCTTATTCCACCTTGTTTCCCCCCGGACGGTTTTCATCGCTGAACTCTTCGACTGACGCAACTCATTCAGGCCCTGAAGGACTTCACCGCGACGGCGCGCGTTCCACCGTACGAACAATGGACAAACGCGGGCCAAAGCTTGGGAGTGGATCATCCCATTCATCCGGTCGGGGAGAGGGCAATTTGTTGTCCTGGATATTTTTCCTTAGATGTTTCCCCGCGATCCGTATCGCGGGGCAACGGCGTTAACACCGCCTGTGAGAGAAGATTGTGCGAAGAACCGGGCTCTGGGTCAGACCTACGTATTCAAACAGAAGAAACCTTACGAACTGCTCCAGGACTGTGCATGAATGAGAAAGCAGAATCTTGACTGTAATCTCTGACGGCTCGATCTTATTGGAAACGCTACTCCAATAATTTTTGTCATCGTTGCAGCTATTATAACGTAACTATTAACTTCTAAGGTAGATAGTACCAAATGATGAAAAAAGGTTCTGATGAACATAGGTTGGAAAGTGAATATTTAAACTAGGAGTTGTTCGTATTAACTAAAATTGTAGGGGGTTACGTTTTTAACAGGGTTAAAAACGTCCGCCTTCCGAGGGGGGTTAAGGATCTTATTGCTTCCGGCTCCAAGCCACACCAACTAATTCCCAATCGATACATATCAATCCAATTTAACTGAAATCCACCGAATCATCCAGAAACGCCATTGGTCGTGAATTTCGTGAAATCCAGTAGTCAAGTTCGTTCAGGGGGGAACAATTGTTTTCAGGGTTTGAAACTTTGAAATCCGTGTCTAGATCCCCCCAAACGTGAACGCACGAGCGTCCAGGACACGCGAACGGTCGCGGATCGGAGCCACACGGCTCGGATAGAACGGAACAGAAGAGAACATTATGAGGCGAGCGTTCGTAGCGTAGGTAACAATTACCTAGCCGGGGGCCTTACGTCATTGCAGCAGTGACCGTGGGTGAACGAGGGAAAGTCGGGCCCTCTGCACGCTTCGCCGCGGACAATGGGAGACGACGACGACGCCGCGAGCTATCCGCTGCCTCTCCGCCGGCATCCTTGCGTTTTAACCCGATAGAAAGAAGAAGCAAAAAGAAACGAAAATCAAACCTACCTAGTGGTGGTTGATACAGTATCGATATTTCGAATATCAATATTTTCTATCGATATTTAATGTGTGGAATCATCGCGCGATACTTTTTTTTTTTTTGCATAAGACTTGACGAATTGTATCACGATTCATGTGCCGCATAGAACGTGTCGTTGCAAGACGACCTAAACACAGGCGACCGTATAATAGACTCATTATTTCTGCTTGCCGGAGCAACGGTTACGTCGCGGCAGCTCTTCGAGGTCTCTGGTTCGACTCTCGCTTATCCTCGCTTTCGACCGCCTCCTCTTGGAACCGATGGCGTTACATATTACGTTATCCTACCATGTGTGTGCACGCGTATAATACCTACACGTCGCCGCTCTCGAAACCACTCCAACCCATGAACTCGGCCGAATAATTAATCTCTCGAGCCGTCGTGTACCATCATCGACCCAATTCTCACCGGAATAATTTTTTGCAATAACCGCGCTCTAAAGAATTACGGAACTCTTGCTCTGATTGCTTCAATTTTTCATCCGACATTATGGTCCTCCTGTATTTACGGATAAAAACCTGAAGAATTGAAATATAAAAGAAAATGGCTTCGGAATCGAAAGATAATCTTATCAACTATATTTGCATACCTACCAAGTTTCGAAAATTACAAAAGCCAAAAGAAAGTGGATGGGGATAGAGTTGAACATATCTATCGAAGAATCGTCTATCGATCACCAGATAACACGACCGAAATTTTCGAATCAGAAAATTCACCTGTAAATCATAATCTTCTCCATCTTCCGCTTCAACGACTCTGCCCTTATGTCCAGGGTTCTGATTCCCCCGGTTTCCAGAGACAACGCTCGGAAGCCACACACGCACACACAGAGTGACTTCCGCGAGTCTTTCGAAACCGGACGTCGGTTGAATGCCGAATAAAACGACGCCGCGCCGAATATATTCGCGGTGGATTCGGTCGGCACGATCGACAATTTCGAGGATGTTCGAATCGTGGCGGCGTTGTACATATGTGTGTGTGTACGTACGTTCGTTCGTCACGTATGGTCGTGGTCGCGCGTGCACAACGGAACAGACACACATACACACATATTTGGTCGTTCGTTCGCACTAGTGGCAATACTTTTCAATTAAAATATCGATATTTTCTATATCAAAATTTAATGTGACGATGTATATTCCAGTATCAATAGTTAACTCATAAATATCAAAATTTCGATACCATACATTTGCCGTAATCGTAACAGGTCGTAAGGAAAACGGACAAATCACGAGCTTCCCATAAAGTTTGCGATTGTCTGAATATCAATAGACGTATCGATACCAAACATCGAGACGATTCAAATGTCATCGCCATCGCTAGTTCGGACACGCGCCCGTACACGCATAAATTAAAAGAGAAGCGAGTCCACCTCGAGTGTTCCAGCGTGCGCAAAACCGAGCTGACCGCGCGCGAACGCGCGGTTTACCCGGCCCAAAAAAGGATCGGCGTTATTCGTATGACGCCATTCGATACGTTTATGGAAAGGTTAGTCAATCGTGCCGACGAGGCACAATGATCATTTGTTAAGCAACCAACCGCGTGGATAAGCGACCAACCGGTGGCTGGCTGGCCACGCGCGGCATTTTGATTCGCGACAAGTCCCATCGGTGTTTTCGGCCCAAGACCACGAGGCGGCCGGGGGCCTTCCAGCGAGTCCTTCTCCGATCCTTTTACGTGGTCCCCGTCTCGCTGGCACGTGTTCGTCGACAGGGAAACTGAGGGTAAAAAGAGAGCTCCAACACCGATCGATTCGTAACCCACTCTCGAGATATATCCTCCGTTGAAGAATCGACCAGGAAGAGGGTGGATAGTGGGTTTCACGGATCGTTGTTCCAGGTATATTGGATGTCGTTGAAATGATTTTTAGGACAGACGAGCGAATGGAGAGGGGAAGATCGAGAGAGGCCGGTACACGATGGAACGAGTTGTGTTCCTCGGCTTTTGAATCGATCGACGAAGAAAAAAGGAAAGGTGAAGAGACTCTCGAGGAGTTTCTAACCTTTTTGGCGTACAAATGGGTAAAACATCGGAGGACGCGAACGATAAAAGAATTCGGGGCAATAACCACATATATACTGAATAATTTCAGCTACAGGTGGTAAATATGAACTTTTCCTGAAACAAAAAACTGACAATTATCATCAACTCCAAAAATAACAAAACTATATCGCCCTCACGATTAATTTCTTGAAACAGATCACTCGCGAAGCAAAATACTCGATCACGATCATTTCCTACGACCCTCGGGCAATTAGTATTCCATCTAGTTAGTAGAACCCCCGCGACCCTCGAATAGATGAAAGCAGGACCGAGGATCGTCTATCGGGGGCGCGTCGCACAGGGTGGAACATATGCCAGCAGTGGAGGG